CTACCTTTCTTCTTATCCTATCCCTACAACTGAGCGTGTGGATACTCGATGTCATTGTTTCTGTGAAGTTTATTTCGACTTCAAGCTCGTGTAACCTTTGTCTGGTATCATTGTCAGCTTGCTCATGTATAGCACATCTCCGAGCGCTAATCTCCAAGTGATCCAGCGCCATAACTCGAATCCCGTCTCCTTGGCGTACATATAGACTATCTCTCGACTTTCCCACCATGTCCAAGGACATTAGCCCCGTGACATGCCTCCATTCCTTCTCTGATGCGAATGGTGTTGGTGCTCTGTCCAGTGTATAGCTTTCTGTGCTGGAGTCAATTGATTAGACCTTGCGACATTCTATTGCTACCATTTTATGTGTGAGCGTCTATTTTATTAGATAATTGTTCTCACCTCCGTTTTCATCAGTGATATTTACAGACATCAACGAAAATTACTCTGTGTGATAAGAATCTGACATGATCTAGTCCTTGTCAAACAAAGCTCCCGAGTGATCCCCGCGTTCTTTGGTCCTTCAACTCTCCTCTTCTTGCCATTTTGCTCATCCTTCGCTTCTCGTTCTCGTTTTCTTTCAGGAAAGACACATCTTGAATCCCAATAAATGCGGTCTTTCCTTCTTGTGTGGATGTTTGTGGTGCATCTTATGGCATCGGGTGCTGCACAGGACCTCACGCCGTCTATTTCCTGGAGAGTGAGTTCCCCTTCTCTGGCTGAACCCTGAAACAAAAAATGTTAATACGAGAACTAGAAACCCAACATCACGTCGTCTAAGGATGACCGCATCAACATTGCGAGTGCTGCCATTGAAAAAGCGTCTACCATGCTTCAGTCCTCTTGGTTTTTCAACGGTGTGTTTAATTCTGTTCTAGTATCGCGCATCCATCTCAAATATGCTCAGATTCCTTACACGTAACCGAATTCAGAATTTACGCACAAATGGCCGAAATTGATAGACTAACGAGCCAAACAAGGTACAGGCAGACGTTGAAACAGTGTTTCGCCCTGGCAGAGTCGTATGAGTCTTCTATGAATCTGTGCGCCCCCACAATACTTTCTAGAACACTGCTGACCAACCTTGACGCAGTGTTAGTTCTGTTTCCTGCAAGCGATTTCCGGATGGCTGATGGCACCATTTTCGACGATAGTTGAACTACAGGCTGTGAGCTAGATCATATGCTGATGTTCTCCTGTTACCAATTCTCTACAGGGAATACGGATATGCTGCCGTTCGAGCTTACGCCGCTTATCAAGACCAAGACTTCCTCGATCGGGCCGTGACTTCATGGACTTTTGCGAGGAAATACACGATATCTCAAGAGCAAGCAGCACTGGGAACCATCAATGTTAAGCGATTCAACATCCCATCGTCCTGTAACGGCGGTGAGTGTTGCCGATAACTACGGCTGACCTCTGTATTGATTCAGGTTCATGGCAGCAACGATGGCGGGTGGCACTTTTTACGTAAGTCATGCTTTACGTTCACATCTCGCCAGCTAATCAGTTGACTAGAACACTGATGCCAATAACACCGACATCTTCGGTCTTTCCTCTAGGTTTGTGTTTTTTCCCCTTTTCTTTCTTCTTTTAAATTCATGGTTTACTCTGTACAGTTTCTTTCTCGTGTGAGTACCATAAGCTTCTCTGGTAGAGGCTGTCTACTTATCTGAATACGAAAAGCGTTTCGGCTCTATTGGCAGAAGTAACATACAACCAGACATATCTCGATGCTGCCATCGAGTCAGCATCTTTTATCCAGTCTCACCTCCTCAATCCGTCTAGTAACATTGCATGGTATTCGATGTCAACAAACGGAACTTGCTCCTTACAACTAGGGGATGTCTCCTATGATTCCGGGATCTTCATTGAAGGATTGGCTGTCCTAGCTAATATTACCCGCAACGTGTCAACTGAAGCCTTGTATGTGGTGAAATATCTTGAATGTCCGCATATTAAACGATGAGTTTCTGATAGATTGCGCAGTACTGTCGTTGCCGTTGTAACCAATACACAGTGGCAAGGATTGGATGGAATTATCAATAGTACGTTTTTCGTTCATAACTTTACCTCAAAAGAGATCATCATTCTTGTTTGAAGGTTCGGCTTCGTTCCCTGCAGGGTATTACATTGTACGGGCCCTGGTGACGCTATATGAGCGCAACACAACATTATCTGACCTTCGCGAATATACCAAAGAATACATCGGTGTGCAGGTCAGCCCTTACAAAATCTACCCTCCTGATTGATGTAGCTTATTTTATTTTTGCGAAGTATAATGCCGTCATCGATCTCGCCACCTCAGGTGGGAGCAACGTTTACGGGCTCTGGACAGGGCCGTCAAGCACCTCGTTCTCCAGTGATAACCAAACTATAGCGATAAGCGCATTGCTCAGTGCAATACAGCTTATAGAGGACCAGCCATCGTCGAAATCGAGTGTTAATAGCACTTCGACCGTTTTTCTAAGGAGCACTGACCAATACTCGTTTCCAACAAGGGACAGCTCGACCGCACCGATAGTCAGCGGTGTCGTACTTGGAGTGACGGTTATTGGCGTGGGTGCCGTTCTCCTGTATAAAAGGCTTCGTCGAAGGAAGAACGAGAGCCATTTTGCTGTAGACGATTCTTCCCCGCGAGTGATCACACCATTCATGGAAACATCAATTCCAGTTTCTCCGGAGATATCAGGAGGTCATATAAACCAGGCGAAACGTGCTAGATACCCCTTGGCAGAGAATAGAGGGGGGTCCTCTTCACTCCCGGGGGTAGGCACGAGGGGGACGGATGTACATAACGAGTCAACGCCTTCACTCAGGGTTCCCGCAATTCCGCCAAATGCACAGCACTCTGATGGTGTAGAGGGTATACCTACGGATGATCTTCTGAGGTTGCTCAATGAACGACTGCAGTCGGGCCGATGGAATGGCGTGCATGACGAGGTACCACCAGCTTATCGCGAAGGACAGGCCGTGTAATAATGTAATAGTTACAACCAGATACGAAGACTTCTCCGCTGATGAGTATATGAACCTCCTCGTTGTCCTGTTTTCTGTTCCCAAGTGACTAATCGCGTTTGGGCCATTTCCACCACCATGCCCGCAATATGATGATAGGACGAAGGACAGACTATGTAGGAATGTGATATTTACTGTTATGGATATCGGGGTCTTTTCCGGTGTGAGTATGAGTCAACACATGCTTACTCTCGGGCTTCTCGGTGTTGACCTCGGCTTACCAGTATTTTCTCTTATCTTCTCTATTCTTCTTGCTGATACTATAATACTACGGAACATTGTAGAATACTAATGACTCAAAGACTAGTATATAAACACTGCCTGTATTACTTAGGAAACAATCTATTTCACTACTCATCAATGTCCACTTAACTGTGTGATTTAAGCATCTTTGATCGGTTACGCCCAGCGCTTGCCATTGAATTGCTTCCTGACTACGCCTAGCGCTTGTCAGAAACTTTGTTAGTTACGCCTAGCGCTTGCTGACACCCCGTTAACTACGCCTAGCGCTTGTAGCACCCTTTTCGGATCCCTCTTGGTGGTTGGAACTCGGCTTACGGACATCCTCGCTCATAACTTGGGTTTTACTCGAGTATTTATTACTTCGTGTACTACTCGAAATACCCTGATTCTTAACATTTACAGTTGGTCTGAATAGGAGGTCCCGTTAGTTCTTGACAGCGGAGAAGCGAGCCGAGGAGACGACGCGATGTATAATGGAGGACTTGTTCTACTGCCACGGGGATGGGAGCGGCAGTAGGCAGCAAACGATTCCTAGCTACTGTACATGCCACGTTTGAAGTACTCTGAATATTTGGTGCGGAGGCGTAGGTCGCTTGGTGGAAGGGTTGAAGGGCCGTGGCGACGGGGAGCCTTCATCGATGGAGCACCCTGATTAATCGGCACGCCGCTGAGCGTAAAGTAGTGAGCACATTTGGGAAACGAGAACAGTCCAGTGAGGAGCTAGAGGAAAAAGTTAAACAACATTGGACAGGAAACCCAAAGCTAACCTCATAATCTCGCGGTCTTGCTTGATATTTTCGACGTCAAGATGTATACACATATGTTTATCGCATAGGAAAACTGGATCAAAGTGAAGAAGTCTTTAACAGTCCCAAGCACCCAAGCATCAAGAAAAAAGACGGTGTCGTGGGGGTAAGACAGAGAAGCGAAAGCCTCCATCTATCACCTCGTCACCTTGTGTATATCTCCTCGAATGTAGGATCTTCCAATAATGCCGTCGCTAAAGCGCGCTGAGTGCTTACACCAATTATGAGAAGGTTCAGCATCGATCACAGTTAGTAAAAAGCGCGCACCTGGGAGCGATATAAAGAACAGCCTCTGAGTGGCTAGGTTTGGTATGCCGGGAGAGGGATAACTAACGGTGCCGCTGCAACCTTATCCCGAAGGGACTTGGACTCAGCGGCAGCGGGCGGTGAAGGCTAAATTCCTGCACGTCGTGGTTGAGGTATTTGGTGTGGAGACGGACGTCACGAGCATTTGCTCAGCGGAAGTGGCAGGGTAGTGGAGGGTGGACAGGAGAAAGAGACTCAGAGACACATCCTTCACTAATGAGAAGAGGGAAATACAAGTTGAAGCCTCATGATCGACGTAGCTGACTGAGAGCTCAGAGATTAGATTAGCGCCTCTGGCGATAGGAGCAGCAGTCCGGGGAACTAGTGGAGGAGGTTTGGAAAGGGAAAGGACCCAAGACTGACTTCCTGTCGGCGTAGAATCTCGTCGTCGTTCTTAACAGCGGAAAATAGTGTATGATCGTGAATTGTCATATTTGCACGTACCTTGAGATTCGTAAAGAAGGAGTACGCACATGATTGGTTTGGAGGTGACGGAGGCAACGTCACCAAATAAAATGTAGTATCGCAAGTTGACATCTGCATGCAAAAAGGGGGGGGAAAGAAGGAAAGCATATCGGAAAACCATATGATCGTTCTGGGGGAGATGCTAAAGGACGAAAAGGATGTTCGGATATGGTGTAACGGCTAACATTGCCGCCTCTCATAGCAAAAGTACGTTGAGCTACGCGGCAGCTCGGGGTTCGATTCCCCGTATCCGAAGTCCAGTGTCGAATGACAGTTTTTTTCATAAAGATATGAAGATAAGGAGTTAAAATTACAGTTGTCGTTGAACGTTGAGTCTTGACTAGGATTTCAAACCAGTTAGTTACTACTGGTAATTTACCTATCCTCGCTGCATTTTGTCGTAAACGGGGAGCAATATCACTGCCATACAGTACTCAATATATTTTATTTATGACATAAAAACATGTTCCACAATCAATCGTACTTTGGGAGAAGGAGAAACGTGTAAGAGAACAGAAAGACGAAGATGTGCGGGTGCGAGTCTTTCGGAGAGTGGGGTAGACAACTATCGATAGCTAGATACATATGACATTATTGCGAAAACAGGAATAGGCAAGAACACAGAAGAGAGACCGGATAGCGATTTAGAAAACTGGAGCGAGGTGAGGACGTCCTGAGCTATGAGTATCCAGACAGAAGGGGGTGTCGCGGGGTAAGACAGACAGGGAAGCGCGAGAGCAGCAGAGTTGGGAGAGGCCATATTGACTACGAGGTGAGAAGGAGGGATGGGCGCATACAATGAGTTTACGCATCCGAAGGAAAGCAAGACGATTCTTTTCTTCAAGAATTGTGCGACCCAAAAACCCTGGGAGCTGGAGCTGGTATCCTGCTCTTTCGTGTGGCGGGGCGCATGCGAGGTTGGGCTGGGGGTGGGATGTTCTCCGCGTCGACGATAGCGGGTCTTGGTTTGGTTTTCGTATTCGTATTCGCCACGGGCCTGGACTTGGACTTGGACTTGGGCGTTTTGGTGGAAGTCGGCGTGGATATCGTTTTACGTGTACGCGAGGTGGGTATCGGATTCGCTTTATGTGCGGTGGGTATCGTCGTGGTGGATATCGCTTTTGTGGGTACCGGCACCGGCTTGATGGTGGGTGTTGAATTTGATATGAGAGCTCGAGGGATGTGGCACGCCGTACAGCCACGACGGAGTTGCGAGGAATCGTGCTGGCCAGGAAGGGTGTAAGTATAAGTATCCGTCCCGTCTTGTTGATCGTCCGTCATGCCCTCCCTTTCGAGCTCCGCGTAATACTCCTTCGAGATCCATCTGATCCGTCGTCCCGGGCCCGGGTGTGTACAGTCGAGCTCTTCCGTGAGTGCAGAAGTAGTGGGTAGCGCCGAGTGCGGGTCTTGCAGTCGCCATGGAGTGAGTAGGCGGATCGCCTTGGGGAGGATCTCTGGTGGGATCGAGAGTAGCAGGGAACGGAGATCGGGAGAGGATGAGTTGGCCAGGGCTGGATCGGGGTTGACTTGAAGTATGTTCGAGGATGAGTCGAGTGGGAACGGGATTGAGGTATCCGGCGTGGTGAGCATGGGCGAGATCGTGGTGGTGGTGGTGGTGTTACCGGCGCCAGGTCCCAATAAGGAACGGCCGGGTCCACAGCCCTGACATGGCGTACCATGTGCTGCGGCCACAAAGGCTCATGCCGTCTCAATCACATTGTTGAGTGTGTATCGCGGGTTAGAGTGTCTTCGTGGGGTTCCCAACCAGTATAATAGAATGACGACGATATCATTACGCTAACAAGACAGGGACTTCCTTAAATACACGAAAGATATCCAAAACAAATTTAGCGAAGCGACAAAGAATCGTTGGATCATTGGCATCCAAAAACAGTTGTGTAACATGCAATGTTGACGGCGCGGCCTGCAAGCTGGACGGAAACGAGCTGACTATACACTCAACAAGCAATCCATTGAACACAAAGGACGGCATGTCAGGAAAAATGGGATTGATGCAAGCGAGAACGAGGGGATATACAAATGACGACAGTACCACAAAATAGTCGGTGAGACACAGTGACGTCGCTTGAATGTATGGACCCGAGACAGACGTATACACCACAAGATCAGCAGCACCGGTGACGACCGCAGGTGACACTAGTGACAAGGGTACGACGAAAACAAGCCACATTGCACACATAGATGTCACATCAGTGCACGGACCCACTGACGATGACGAGCACCAGGGTGAAAACAATGATAGATACTGGTGGCACCATCGGTGCGCCTCAGGACGGGCAGCCCACGGGGGAGAGCGAGGAATAGAAACGCACGTAACAAGGAACAACGACATCGCAGCGCCGAAGCAGCGGCAGAAGTTGACCTCCTTTTCCTCCTTTTCATTGAAACAATTGGAAGGGAACGCAAGCCACGAAGAACAACACGAACAGGGGAAGTAACTGGGCTACATGAGCGCGTGAATGAGTCTCATTCTTCAACGGCAGCGCAGGCTACGGTGATCAACAACGTCGCAGCACGGAAGTGGCGGCAGGAGTTGTCATCGTGAAGTAATAACTGCAACAACGTCGCAGCGCCGAAGCGGCGGCAGGAGTCGCAATCATCACCGCCAGCAGGTGGCATGAAGGATATCGACGTCAATGGCGCTATGCGTGTCCTGCAACGATCCTTCAGTCCATGTGTTTTGCAACGATCCTTCACTCTGTACAGCGAAACCAAACAAACGGAACGCAAGCAACGAGAGCCAGCAACGTCGCAGCGCCGGAGCGGTGGCAGGAGCGGTCCTCATCACCACCAACAAAACAAAACGAACGGAATGCAAGCAACAAGAAACAACAACGTCGCAGCGCAGAAGCGGCGGCAGGAGTAGTCCTCGTCACCACCAACAAAACCAGATGAACGGAACACAAGCAACAAGAAGCAACAACGTCGCAGCGCCAAAACGGCGGCAGGAGTAGTCCTCATCACCACCAAAGGGAGCATGGCTTGGATGCTGTGAGTTCAAGGTTGTTGGAATTACTAAGTATATGCTCATAGCTTCCCTGGCTACTGGGTTACAAACTCGCAAGGAGTCTGCCCGTTATTTACTTGTATATATACTATTTACCATCTAATCTAGTATCTTCTCCAACTTTTGTCCCATTTCTATACTTACTAATCATGCCAAGTGATGCCGGCTTGCCCGAATCTCAACAAAGGTATCTGTGGGTGAGCACGTACTGCGGTTTTCGAGGGGGGGCAGTGGGTAAGACATTGTTTGCCGGGCTGGTTTCAGATTCTTGAGGGAAAAACGAGTATTAAGGGTGAAAAGTCAGATAGATTGGCCGGTTATACATGATACGAAGGGAGGAAGTAAGAGTCGCTGAAAGGATCCAGAAGCTTAGGGGTACATTGGTGGTTTCGTGTAGTGGTGGTGGTGGTGGTGGTCCGGGACCACAGCACTCATTAACACAGATTTAATTTAGTAGATGGTAGCAGTACAATGATTGATACGAAAGCAATACAAGAAAAGTTCAAAACAATGTCAAGAAACGGATCATGACCACCCCGCACGCGCGCCAACCATGTTCGTATTCGTAGCACCCATCCAGGGCGTCGAGAAGGGGATGTTGATGTTGTAGTTCAGCGGGGAGAGCAAGGCGCTGGGGTTGGGAGATGCGTAGATTGGGGAAGCGAAATTCGGGGCGAAGGCTAGAGGTGGTGCTTGCGCTTGGGGAGGAACGGGATAGGCGTGCGGGGCTGGAGTCTTGGAGGGAGGTGGTACATCCAATAAAGGGGAGAAATCGGGAGGGATGTACCCTTGGGCAGGCGGGGAGTTGTTCGGCGCTTGGTAGGGGCTCAGTTGCGTACCGTATGAACTGGATGGATGTTGACTCGGAGGCTGGTACGGGCTCATCTGAGGCGGAAGCTGATACGGGCTGGCTTGGGTCTGCGGCGTAGAATATGGATGTTGATTCGGTGGTTGGTACGGGCTTGTCAGAGTCGGAGGCTGATACGGGCTTGTCAGAGGCGGTGGTTGATATGGGCTCGTTTGGGTCAGCAGCGTAGAATGCGAACGCTGACTCGAGCTCATCTGAGGTGGCGGCTGGTGCGGAGTGTACGAATTGGTTTGGGCCAACGGGCGGGCGGATTGATGTTGGCTTAGCGGTTGATACGGGCTGGTCATCGGCGGAGGCTGGTACGGGCTCGTTTGGGTCAGCAGCGGACGCTGATTCGAGCTCGTCTGAGGTGGCGGCTGGTACGGAGTGTATGAACTGGTTTGGGCCAATGGACGGCTAGACTGATGCTGACTCGGCGGTTGGTACGGGCTGGTCATCGACGGTGGCTGATACGGGCTAGTCAGCGTCGGTGGCGCAGAAAAAGGACAACTAGGCTGGTGTTGTTCCGGCGGGTAGTACGAGCTCGTCGTTGACCCAGACACCGGCGGCTCGTCACTCTCCGACTCCGACTCCGTATCCGAGTCCTCGTCCTCATCTGAATCGTCCGAATCCGAGTCGTCCGGCTCGACCCACTGCCCCAACAAATACCTCCCCCTCGGCTTCGGCTCCGCCCCCTTCCCCTCCCTCCGCCTCCTCAACTTCCTCTCCCACTCCCTAATCTCCGCCTCCTCCTGCACCGACATCACACTCGTCTGCCTCGTAATCGTCTTCCCCTTCCCCTCCCCCTCCACAACCCCCGGATGCTCCCGCAACCACTCCTCCACCAACCGCACCGCATCTCCAATCCTCACCCTCATCTCCGCAACCTTCCACTCCGGCCACCCCTCATAGCCCATCGTCGCACACTCCCCCCTCACCCACGCCTCCACGATCTCCCTTGTCCACCGCCCCCCTCTCCCTCCCTGCACCCTCAACCCATTCAACAGAATCACCACCACGTCCCCCGCATCGTACTTCTCATACCGCATCAGCTTCAGCCCGACCGCCCACCCCGGTGCGACGCTCACCATCCTTACCGCCCCCCGCTCAAAAATCATATTCCTCCCGAGGTTGCCCGCGTGCGTGCTCCCCTCCCACACACCGGGTGGGAGCGCAACGTCCGCGTCGGCGTTCATCCAGTCCGCGCCCAAGCCCGGGAAGGCGCGTGCGGTTTCGGCGATGGCGCGCGTGAGCGTGCTGCGCACGGCCGGGGGGAGGGGTTGCGCGAGGTAGTCGACGTCGAGGGTGCTCTGGCGGGAGGTGGGGATCGTTTGGTAGGATGGGTGGAGCAGCATCGCGGCGCCGCCGTGGATGACGAGT